GCACATTATGAAAAATAATGTGTTTTTTGAACATTAAAGCATGTCAACATATTCTGTTACACCAAATACACAAAATAATGATCTTTAAAAAAGCATCATATGACCCCTTTAAAGCCCGAGATACTCCGATCTTCTCTTCCAGATGAACTGAATCATGACGTTCTCTCATGGGCGATTCATATTCAAGTGCGAATGAGAACCATTTTGCGGGGGATGCCAAGTGTTCTACAAAAAAAAAATATTCGAATCTCAAATTTGAAAATCGAATGCCAACCACTGAACGAATAATCGAATATTCTGGTCCAGCCCTAATAGACGATAGTATCGTGTATCGACGATAGTCAGAGATATCGACGATAGCAGATGTCTTTATCGATAGTCAAGACGATATTAGGCTCATTCTCCTATTAATGTATAATTATTATTATTATTATTATTCGGCGGCCTATTATAATTCGGCTATTATTATCAAATTGCCCCGCTATTTCACTTCAGCACCGCACTTCACACACACACGCAAATGAGGATTAGAGTCTCCAACCACAAACACAGACGTCATCTTGAGGTATTTCATTGCACTTAAACAAGTAATCTGAACGGCCTATATATGTGCAATATTTTAACCGAGCCCCCACTAACAGAGTTTAACGCCACAGTTATGTTAGTGCGTCGGGCTCATCATGGGGCGCGCGGTCCAGAGCGCTGTATGACTGATGTATCCGTTTAATTTATCTTTACTCCAAATATATGAACTTACCTGTTTTAAACACTTTTCGTTCGTTTATGTTCAATATTTAATGCTAAACTGTTGGTCTTTAAAATAAATCTACTTTTGATTTTCACCGTTGACTGCAGACTGATAACTTCCGTGCACCGATGCGGCAAACTTGTCACAGGACGAGCGGTCCTAATAGCGATGTTTGACTGTTGTATCCGAATATATATGAGCTAGCTGTTTTAAATATTTTTATATTTAACATGTTAGTTTATCAGTATGTTTGAAAGTATATTATTTAGATTAGTGGTGCTTCCATGCAACAAAGGCTTTACTCTGGCGCGCAGGGTTTAAAACACCAAATAGTTATGTAATAGCCTATGACAAGTACAGAGAGTCTCTCTCTTGCCCCACCCACCCATGCACGATAATATCGTGTATCGGTGATCTCACGGGCTGGCGATATGACGATATGAAAAATGACCATATCGCCCAACGCTAAGTCCAGGTTATATGTGAAAATAATGTTCACTTTTTCATAAAAGCATGAAACTTGGTACAATTGTACAGGTTAGGGCCCTGAACATTTTCATAAATGGAGCCATCGCAAAAACACCTCGTGGTTGCCATGGTGACCATTTTACTTCCCGCCACAACCAAATTATGTATTTATTTATTAAACATGATAACACAGAAAAGGTGATGTCTACCCCTATGTTTTAATGGTCAATGATTGCAATGATACCATATACAGCAACATAAACTGTTCAGGTGAAGAGTTAATGGTGAAATCAGCTATGTGAGACGCTCTAACATCACACGCAGATGGCAACGCAATCAGGTGAACAGTTAATAGTTAATTCAGTGACTTTATGAGAAGGATTACAATGAAATCTCAGAAGATGCAGAATTAAATTTCAAACATATTTCATGTAAACTTAATTTACAATCACTCTCTGGGCCCAGAGTTGCCTATCATGTTGTCTACAGGGGGGAAGCCAGAGTCCTGCATGAGGGTGGGTACACGCAGGTGAATCGCTAATATTTGATGTAACGGGTGGAATAATATTTACGTGTGGTGCGGGTGCGTGCCGGACGGTGACAAGCACGGGCGGATTGCGAGTCCAATAACCAAGACTATTTCGACTCGGTCCAGTCATCACAGGTCTTTGTAAGGGCTGGATTAGGGCTGCACGATAAATCGCATGCGATATTTAATGCACATCTTGTCAGAAAGCCGGTTCTGTAATCAGCGGTAAATCTCCATCACGTGCGTACTTTCATGTGACTTGATGTGGTGCATGACTAGCCGTTCAAAGCACTTCATGAGAGTAGACCTCCCCTGTTAGCCACGGCTTCTGGTTGGCCCGGACAGTGATGGTCTTTGAGACTGTTACATCATCAATACACTTGGTGATGTAGGCAGTGACAGTCTCTGAGTACTCTTGGATGGTGTTATTGTATGTGGCAGCCTGCTTAAACATATTCCAGTCAGTGGTGTTAAAACAGTCTTGAAGAGCCTCTGACGCCCCTTCTGGCCACACTTGTATTTGTTTGTGAACTGGTTTAGCGACTTTAATGAGTGGTTTGTATGCAGGCATTAGCATGACAGTGATGTGGTCTGAGGCACCGAGGTGGGGGAGGGGGAGGGCCTTGTAAGCTCCTCTCTGGGTGGTGTAAACAAAGTCCAGAGTGTTGTTTACCCGCGTTGGAAAGTCTATGTGTTGGTGTATTTTTGGGGACACACTCTTTAAGTCACCTGTAGCTTGTTTATTGAAGATGCAGGACAACCACCTAGCAGTGCATTACAATAGTCCAGTCTAGAGGTCATGAATGCATGAACTAGCTTTTCTGCATCAGAAACAGGTATCATGTTTCGTAACTTGGCAATGTTTCTAAGATGGAAGAATGCTGTTTTTGTAACATGGGAAATATGATTTTCAAAAGACAAGTTGGTGTCTAATATAACACCCAATTTTTGACTGTAGAGGAAGTAACAGTACACCCGTCTAGTTGCAAATTGTAATCCAAGAGATTCTGTGTACTGTTTTTTGGTCCAATAAGTAATATCTCTGTCTTATCCGAATTTAGGAGAAAATGATTGGTCATCCAGTCTTTTATATTTTTAACACACTCTGTTAGCTTAGATCATTTAGAGGTTTCATCTGGTCTTGTTGAAATATATAGTTGAGTATCATCAGCATAACAATGGAAACTAATCCCGTATTTTCTAATAATATTACCATGGGGCAACATGTATATTGAAAATGGGCCTAGGACAGATCCTTGTGGCACTCCATAATTTACTGGATTTCATTGAGACGATTCCCCGTTTAAATAGACAAAGTGATATCGATCTGAAAGGTAGGATCTAAACCATCTTAAAGCCTGCCCTTGAATACCTGTATAGTTTTGTAATCGATCTATGAGTATGTCATGATCTATAGTGTTGAATGCAGCACGAAGATCAAGTAAAACTAGCAATGAGATGCAGCCTTGGTCTAACGCAAGAAGCAAGTCATTTGTAATTTTTAACAAGTGCAGTTTCTGTGCTATGGTGGGGTCTGAAACCTGACTGAAATTCTTCATAGATATAATGTTTTGCAGGAAGGTGCACGATTGAGCAGACACAATGTTTTCTAAAATTTTAGACATAAACAGAAGATTTGAAATGGGTCTGTAAGTTTACTGATCAGCCAATAAAAATGCGACGTGAAATCAATGCGACATGGCACTAAAACCTCAAGCTCTTATCCCTTCCTCTTTCGCCGCTTCCACTTTTTTCAGCACACATAAAAACTACAACGGCCAAAGTGTGAATATCATGCTCTTTTTGTTTAACAATAGCATATTCTGGTGACGTTTCATTCTATTATAGAAATGTGCATTGTAGCCTATGAGTCAGTAGGTGTCATCGTAGTCTACATGCATGTTGTAGCCAAGTTTATTAGATCCATGTCGCACAGTGTGATCTGCAGTGATCTTATAGGATTTCTAAAATTGTGCAGTGTGTAGAAGGCTTAATAAACATGTAGGCTAATTTCATTATTTACTGTGTGAAAATGATGTGAAAGACTGTCCTTGAAATGGTAAATCTAAATAAATTTAAAATTAAGGTTATCTAAACAAAATTAAGGTAATTCTGAAGAAACACCTAATCGTTTGTAAATATTATTTTGAGTTTGATCAGATAAATGTGCCTTTTAATAATCATGAAGCGTTTGTGTTCAGATGTTGACCATGAAAGCGCAGGTGGATGTGGTCTGCTGTAAATCAGTAGGAACTGATCTGTCCATGCTGGATATTGAGGATTTCATCACAGAAATCTGTCAGCTGAAGAAAGAGGTGGCTTCACTGGAGGCAAAGCTGAGAGAAAGAGGAGACAAACTGAACAGAGAGGTTTGAACAGCTCTTCATTTCATCTTTCAGCTCAATCACTGTCAGTTTGTCTGATGAAATGACTGTTTTATAATGTATAATTAAGTTCCTAAGCTGATTCACAAACAAAATAACGACAAATTATTACCAGATTCTGTATTGATAAGCTGATTGTGTTTGTCAGGATGTGGAGAAGGTTTCAATGCGTGTGACTGATGGGACAGAAGCTCAGGATTCAGTCTGGAGCGTCAGAGATCAGAGATCCAGAGACACACAGGACTCAGAGCTCAGCCTCACTTTACTCTGTTATACTGACGCTCAGGATCATGAATCCACTGATCAAACCTCTGACTGTAACGCTGGAGAACAGCAGATGCTGCAGACGCCGCTGAAGACGTGCTCCGTCAAACTGGTGGACTGCAGGAACCTGATAGAGAGCAGAGGAGACGAAACCACCGCAGAGAAAGAACAACAACACAGTGATGAGGAAGAGGAGGATGATTATGATGAGAATAATGGGGATGATGATGATGAAGATTTCATTCCTCCAGGTGTGTTTCTTTCTTTTATGACCTTTTGTTGTTTTTCATGACACTTGAATGTCAGCAGAGACTCTGCAGGATCAGGTTCATATTGGCTGATGGTGCAGATTTTCTGAGATATTTGGAAACATGATGTCAAATGTTAGCAGGGCTGAACAATTTCCGGGAAAAAATCTAATTGACACATTTCTGATATTTTTTTTATGCGATTAAAAATGTGCTTTTTTTAAGAGCTCCAGGTTTGCTGACCATTTAAAAAAAAAATTATTACGGTTTTGTTCCTTTCAGATGTCAATGGTGGCTCATCTTCTGATGGAAATGAAGAAACAGTCTTGACCTCAAAAGAGCAGCTGAAGAGTTTTTCTTGTGCCACCTGTGGAAAAACACTGAGTTCAGAGGGTTATTTAGCGAGACACGAGAGAACACACACAGAACAGAAAGACTTCAGCTGTTCGGCTTCAGCCAGGAATTTTCATTTCGGTACATCCCTAGATGTTCTCTAACTTTATTCAAGTATATTTTAAAGTTGTTTTATTAATGGTTTGTTCCTTTCAGATGCCATTGGTGGTTCATCTTCTGATGGAGATGAAGAAACAGTCTCAACTTCAAAAGAGCAGCTGAAGACCAAGAGTTTCTCCTGCGCCACCTGTGGAAAAACACTGAGTTCACAGGGAAACCTAACGAGACACGAGAGACAACACACAGAACAGAAATACTTCACTAACACCAGCTTTCCTACCGCAGAAGAGAGGAGACTTCATTCAAAAGAGCACAGCAGGAAGGAGGACTTTCACTGTGAACAGTGCGGGAAGGATTTTTTCACCATTGCTCATAATATGAAAGCTCATATAAAGACACACAACGAAAAGTCTTTCCACTGCAGCGAATGTGACAAGTATTTCAGCACCAAAGGAAATCTTGATGCTCATAAGCGAATCCACACGGGAGAAAAGCCGCACAAGTGTCCTCACTGCGAAAAGAGCTTCAATCATGGATCTCATCTGAAGAAACATGTGCGTTTGCACACCAATGAGAGGCCGTATCAGTGCAGTGAATGTGGGAAAACCTTCACAAACTCAAGCTCTCTAAAGTCACACCAGAAAATACACTCTGATGAGAAACCGTTTCAGTGCAAACACTGCGACAAACGATTCCGTCACAAATCTAATCTGAACAATCATGAGAGGATTCACACCGGAGAGAAACCATATCTGTGCTCCTACTGCGGGAAGAGCTTTTCTAGTCCAGCTTATATTGGACTTCATCAGAGAATCCACACTGGAGAAAAACCCTATCACTGCAGCGTCTGTGGGAAGAATTTCAGTAAGGTTGATCATTTACAAAAGCACAAGAGGATTCATACCGGAGAAAGACCGTTCAAATGCTCACAGTGTGACAAGACGTTTGCTCGATCAGACGTCCTGAAGATCCATGAGCGAGTTCATACAGGAGAGAAACCTTACTCCTGCTCCATCTGCGGCGAGAGATTCACTTATTTAGGTAGTTTTCAGACCCACCAGAAAAAACATGCTAAAGAACAAACTGCTCCAGAATCATCGACTTTACATGTCTTGGTCGGTCAATAAAGGCTTTATTTCTGCAGTTGATAATTCATGCTGTGATATGACAGTAACATCAAACAGATGATTGATTCAAGTGAAGACAATCTGACATGAACCATATTTTACACAAAAGTTGGATTTCTGAGCAGCATTCATAGTGTGGATATTTAGTCCAGCATCAGTCAGTACGTTTACATGGACAACAGTATTCCGATTTTAACATGATTAAGACAATACTCTGATTAAGAATCTACCATGTAAACAGAGATGTTTGATTACCTTAATCTGGCTAAAGTCATACTCAAAGTAAACACAAATCGCATTAAAACATGGAGTATTCCTATTTTAGTCGCATTACTAAAGTACAGTATAGACATGTAAACACCTTAATCACACTATTACCGTCGTGTAGGACTTTTCACCACATTTTGCGCCAGGATACACACACGGTGCTCAACCGTTTGACGGCAAACAAAAGCTTCAACAATGCCGTCATCTGTTTTTATGTATAGCATGACAAATAATTAACTGCACATGAAGTTTTCAGTAAATTAAAAATGAAACACCAAAAACTGTATATGGCATCATAATGAAGACGAACTATATGTTTATATGTGAAATTCTGGAGGGGACGTCGGATGGCGTTGTGTGGGGACGTAATGACGTGTGCCATTAATTAGAGATCGACCGATATATCGATTTACCGATATTTTTCGCGATATTTAAGCATTTTACAATAATCGGATATCGGTTTTGTAATATCGGATTCACCGATAAACGCCGCCATCTTGTGGATGTTTTGAGAATTGCACAGGATCGCCATTGCAGCGCGTCTGAGGGGAGACGAGACAACAACAACGGCGTGCACAGGTACTTGATTTACTGTAGTTGGTCAACTTTATTTAACATAACAGCCATTAATGCACAAATGAGATGTATTACATAAATGCCTGATATGCAGTTTATGCAGCTTGGCTCGAAGAAATAGAGATGAACTCACGGAGTCACGTAAAATAATCCGTCAAGTCCTCTCCCAATAAAGACGTAACTTTGCATGAGTTAAATAATACAGCCATGAATGAGCGCACGTTGGAAATAAAAGTGCTACATTTTATTCTCTGTCTGTTGTCTATGCTCATCATTAGTCTCGTGAAGCCGCTTTCATATTGCTGTTCACTCACCGGGTTGATGTCAAA